TTTGGTTTCGTTGAGAACGTGTTCTTGCCAGCGTTCTCTGTTCCATCGTGTTGACTCATAAAACATGACTCAATCTACTCACGGAAACTCTGAGTCGTGGGAGGAACTGTAACGCTTTCACCGGCTAGTTCCTTGAAGATGTCGGCGAGCGCCTGCTTCCGGTGGGGTGGAAGTTCCAGAGTCTGTCGGAGGGTGTCGGTGATCCATCCCAGAATGAGTTTTTGAGTGGCCCAGCTTCCATCCCCTTGCAGGAGTTTCTTGAGCGACACAGCCTCATTTCGGTGCTTCTCGCTGAGGTTGGAGCGCGCGAGAATCTCATCAATGGCATGGAGTAAGTGCCTGCACAGCGCTTTCATACGGGTCTTTCCTCCCTGGCCCAGTTGGATGAAGTCGTCAACGAATATATCATTTCGCCCGATGGGCTGAAGCAAGGATCTATTCGATGGTCCTGCAAAGTGGTCCGGTTCGGTCTCCACGGGGGAGGTGGCGATCCCAAGGAGTTGTTCATGGCTGGCCCACTTGATGGTCTCACGTGGAGTGTTGGAGCCATTGATGATGGCTACCTTGAAGGTGTACTTGGCACTGGTTGCGTCTGCAGGAATGGTGCGAAGTTTGTAGGTGGTTGCACGAGAGACGTCGATCTCGTTGTCTTCGTCATTGTCGATGAGAGGAAGAATGGGTTTGTCACGCAACTATTTCTCGAAGTTGCTGAACGCATGCTTTCCTTGAGCAATCTTCATGGTGAAGGAATAGGTTGAGGGTAGCTGAAAGCTATTGTGTTTGTTAACAAAATGCACTATGCTAAAAGCTAGTGTAAAGATCTTTCGAGTGTTTTGAGTTTGAGAGAATGATAGTTATGAGAGAGATTAGAAAGCTACGAAAACTAATCCATGAGAGAGATCGTTGTGAAGCTCATTGAAGTTGGTCTCCCACGGGAGGCCTCGAAGTGTGATATCGTAGGTTATGGTAATAACTCTACACATTTCCGGAACGCGTGGAAACTTCATCTAGTTGCTGTCTAGTAGCGTGGAAGCTTTCCACGCAGGCTAAATATCTAGAGCGATGTTTCATTGACAACCTAGTATGACTAGCAGTCATGAGAACCCTGTCTCAATGACTATTCGCGAGGGAGTACGTCACGAGTCGAACTCAAACCCTATCTAGGATCAAGTCGCGAATAAGGCTAAGAGCCGTGTATTGCATTTTCATCGAATGGGTAGACATTAATCTCTAGCAACCACTTTGAAAAAGCTTTATTAGTATTGATTCTCACTGTTGTGTAGTTGGAGTGGTTGTTGCTGTTGTTGACTTCTTCTTTTAATGACTCGACCTCGTACCACTTCGAAGATACGTATCGCTTCTCTTCTTCACTTTGTGAGGCGCGGAAATGTGGAGGGAAACAGAGGTACGCATGTTAAGTCCACGATGTTCCGCAAGACTCCAACGGAAGCACAAGAGTTAGGTGGCAAAATTTTTAATTACTGTGGCCTTTAGTGTCCTCTGACGAAATCGTTAAGTCTTGTCTTGTATAAAAATTTCAGTACCGGTACTTTGGCGATAAAAACCTGTCTCGCTCCAAGCCCACAGCTCCAGTTAGTAAAGTACGACTGAACTGTCGGGACTGCTACTCCCACGGTTAGTTCCCGCATGCAGCGCCACGTCAGGTTTTCTCAAAAGAACACAAACGCACTGCCACCATCCCAATTCGGTCTCTGAAGACTGAAGGAAATGAGATTCGATTCATCCAGCTCTTCTCATGGCTACAAACTATGGATGCTAGTACCTTGTAGCTTGCTTTCCTCCTATCTAGCTAGCATCCGGTGTCGTCTCTTCTCTTCTCTGGTCAAGAGAGTGAAGGTTTTGGTTGTTAAGAGTGCTGGAACCGTGTGAAGGAAGCATCAAACGAGTTGTGTTTATTCGAATAGAAGCATGAAAACAATATTGAGATGTACTAGTATCGGTCACAATGGCCATGCTGAAGCGTCCACGTTTAAGAGGCGACGACGATTGCCGCTGCATGCCAATCGTCGAGCCCATTCGCTTCTTTTCCTGTTGGCGCTTGCCTTCTGTTCGAGCTCCCACGCGTTTACTCATCAAGCAAAGCAACAACGACAACAAACGAAGGTTTCAGCAGTTCAACTTGACGACCGAAAGACCAGGCAAAGAACGCCGTTGGAGCAGCAGCAACAGAAAGGTCAAGAATCAACTGCTTCCCAGCTAGATGAGCTCTTTCAGCGAAGTGCCAACGTCAAAGTTCTTTCCGAAGAACTGGATATTGCTGACCGAATCGAGATTCACTGTCATACTGATGAGGGGGAGAATTCTGACTCTGACGCAGATGAAGAGCCGTCTGAGGCTGACACAAAGTCGGAAACTGAGAGTGATACCAACAGCAGCAGTGAAAAACAAGCAAAGGACGATGATTTAGAAGAAATTCAGAAACGGCGAAAGCTGGCGGCGAGGGCTGCCTTGTTGGGCAGGTCACCAACAGCACCCAAGACTCGAAAGCCAGGGGCTACTACAAATCGCAAAGCGTACAAATCATCCACTTCAGTTGGTGAACGCCGCATTGGAAGCACCTCTAAAGCTAGACAAGGGCCTGACGTCACCAAAAAAATCATGGATGCGGTTAGAAAATCTGCCAGTTCCAACACTTCCAACGATGGCAACAACGAACTCGATACCCCCCCCTCCAAGGATACACCGTCAGCCTCAATAGCGACGAAAAGAAAGTTGTCACCCTCGAGATTGCATGAGCGAGTCTTGGAGTTGATGGCACCGTTTCCGCAGAGACCAGAGCAACCAGTATTTCAGAGCAAACCTCCGCCGGGCAGCATCCTGATTCCGTCTTCGCCCAAAGTCACACACAGGGATTCAAACAAACTGCAGTTTCCAGAATGCCTTACTGTGAGGGTGGCGACGCCTCGATCTGACACAGAAGTGGCAAATCTACGTCTATCGGTCTTTTCGGATTTTACTCCCGACGTTCGACGGCAATTGGTATCGAGGTCCGTTAGAGCCGTCGTGACACGACGAAGTCTGGGTGCTACTTGTTTGATCGCCACAGTGCCGCCCAGCTTGTCAGCACGCAAGCGAAACAGACCACCCGTCATTTTGGGAAGTGCCGAGTGCAGTTTTCATGAGTTTGATTCCACCACATTAGGACGATGCCGACCCGTGGGGTCGATTTTGTACGTCACCGAAGTGGCAGTCAGTCCTAACGCCCGCAGACGAGGTATTGGAGCGAAACTCATCGAGGTACGCCCGGTCGTGATTGTCGTGATGGTTGACTTTTTGCATTGTGCTTAACTGACCTCTATCCGATTCGTTGCCTTCCGCTCCTCGGTTCTCGGATGATCCAGGCAATAGATGTTCTGGCAAATACACGTGGAATTGAGACCCTGTATCTTCACGTGGATGTAGAAAACGAGGGGGCTCTTTCACTATATCAGAAGGCCGGGTGAGTTTAAGGATTCTGCCGTCTAGTCTTTGCCGCTACATGGCTAGCTCCTCTCACCTCTTTTTAACTTTCCAGATTCCGAAAAGTTGATCGGTCAGACCCCATGTTTCTAGAATTCACAACTAAACTCAATCTGCACGACGGTGCAACCAAAGGGCGCAACCATTTCCTCCTGTACAAAGACCTGGTTGAATGTCCCACTTGGCTTGCTCAACCACCAACGACTGTACCGGTAGCAGAGGTACATCCTGTATCCACCAATTTTTCTCGACCACCACCAGGCGGTACGCTGGGCTTTGAGGTGCTTTGTTAGAGCAGCAGATGAACATGGTGTCCGTTCGAAGTGATTGAACCTTGATCCAATCAAAGGATGGAACCTGGCAACTGCACAACTCTAGTAGAGGTAGCTAGGATGAGCTGGAGAACGGGTCCTCTAAAGCGTGAATATCGTCTAATGCAACACGCACTGCTCAACAAATGAACAGTTTTGAACAAATACAAACGAAGTCTTGGCAATGGGAAGTCCTCCATTACCGCGCGGAGTCAACAGAATCGTCATCGAAATTGAGGTATAACACTTGACAGGTTGGCCGTGCTGTAATCGCAAAATAAGGAACTCCTCGTTTCAGAGTGACCCAACATGAAAGGGTTATAAGGTCTATTGCCGTGCCTATTATGTGATAACGGTGGGCGAATCCCGTCCGGTTAGCTCCTCCATTTTCACTAATTGAAGAGCCCGATCTGCGAGGCTTTTCAATGCGGTTGGAGCTGACTGGTCATGCTTTGCTTTGTCACCTTCGAACTTTTCGAGGTACATGCGGATTGTCGCTCCTGCGCTTCCGGTTCCCGAAAGTCGGTATACGACTCGAGCAGGATCTCCACTTGGGTATTCGAAACTAAGTGTCAAACCTTGTTTGGATGTTTGAGATCCATCAACAGGATCCGTATACCTTTTGCAATCGAAGAACACAAAGCAGGAGGTACGAGGATAAGCCAACCAACGCAGCTGTGAAACGGCATATGCACGACGTTCATCTTACGCAAATTCCTCGGCTGCTGTCAGCTTGATCCCAGATTCATCTGCTAAAATAGTCGAAATGTCTCCATCGACAAACTCTTCACGAATCAAGTCCATCACCTTGTTTGCAGCATCACTCTCAACACCTGGAAGCACGGCACAGTCAGTTAGTTGAAACAGATTGTGTTGGATGTTCTCCCGTACACATTCGGCCCAGACTTACCCTCGTAATCATACCGGCAGTAGTAATGACGACCATACTTGGCCCAATGTTCGTTCACTATGTCGCGTACCTGTACAAGAGGCTCTCCTTCAGCCACGTCTTCGTTGGCTTTCATCAAAATGGACATCCATGCCAATACAGCCCATAGTCCATCCTTCTCTCTGATGTGATCGGAACCAGTTCCAAACGATTCCTCCCCACACAAGAAGGGGGTGTAATCGGTTTTATCAAATAGCTCCTTGGAGCTCATAAGATTGCCGAAGAATTTCCAGCCGGTGGGGGTACTAAAGAATGGAATATCAAGTGCCTCTGCGACGACATCCAAAGCACCCGAAGAAGGCATTGATCGGGCGACACCTTTGGGACCACCCGATTTTGAAAAGTGCGGTATGGCCCTCCAGTTGTCACAAATAAGCGCCAAACTATCCGAAGGGGTGACAAAACAGCCAGCTCCTGCTATGAGGTTTCTGTCCCCATCTCCGTCATTGGCTGCGCCCAAGGCTGGAAGTGCGGCAATGTCTGCAGATGGATCAGCACTCCCATCTGCCGCCAACCCCATCTTTTTTACTAGATCAGCAGCATAGGCGAGGTTCGGGTCAGGGTGACATTTTCCAAAGTCTGGTCGAGGATCACAGCGCAACAAACAAGACTGATGGAGGAGACAATGGTTAGAAAGCTGCTGATCACTGTCGTCCTTCTGGTCCAGGTTGATTCACGCAAAAGAGGAGAACGTACTTCCGGTAGACCAAGTTCCTCCAAGAAAACCTTTCGAGCAAAGGGACCCCCAGCGCCATGCATACCGTCAAATAATAGTGAGAAACCTGGCCGTTTCGCAAACTTGCTGAGGGCTTCAAAATCAAAGCAACCCTTCAGCACATCAATGTACTCCTTGAAAGGATCAATGATTGTCACGGTTGAGGCATCTGTAAGTTGGTATGTGGTGCCTTCTGGTGCGTTTAAATCTATGTCACTTGCGCCTTCAATAGTTTTGAAGCTACTAATCTCAAGGCTCTTCTCGTAGAGCTGTACAGATCAGCAATCGACAAGAGCGTTGTCAGCTTGGAGTTGATACACAGCTAGAAACGTTTGAAAAGCAAATGCACTGACCTTATCTGTAAAGTCTTCTCCGGCTGGCTGCCCAAAAGCTTCGTTGTATTTGATACCGAAATCTTCACCAGGGCCTCCAGGATTGTGGCTCGCCGTCAAGATGATGGCTCCATCGGCGATTCCTCCTTCTCTTGTTCGGATTGCAGAGGACACAGCGGGTGTAGACATGATCCCTCCTTGGGGTATCCAGATATTGCTGACCCCATTGCCTGCCAAAACCTTGCAGATAATCTGAATGGCTTCATCGTTGTAGTATCGACCATCGCCAGCCACAATGATTCTGTTTGCCACCAACAAGAAAGAATGAATCAAAGAATGGACAAATATTTGGATAAGAGTCAAGTTGAGTCAATGAGAAAGAGCAATGTCACCATTGCTTGTACTCACGTTTCTGGAACGTTGCCTTCGTTTTTCTCGGTTGCAGTATCCAAGAGACTCTGAATGAAGTTTTCAACATAGTACTTGTCTCCTTCTTTTCCTTGCCAAACTTCTACTTTCTTTCGAAGACCCGAAGTTCCCGGTTTCATCCCTTGAATGGGAGTAGTTGGCACATCTGCAACTGTAGTTGTAGACGATAAGACCACCGATCGGGGCTGAAAGGCCTTGTGTTGCTTCGGGACAAAAGCGTCGGTGGAGGCGCTTGGAGATGACAACAGAGCAAAAGCTGCCACAATTGATCCGAAAGAAAGCTTCATCTTCTCCGCCTACTGTATGATTAAGCTGGCTGGTGTTGTGTGAAGTATATCGCACAACTGGCTAGCTAGCTGGGCGTTTGGGATGTAGCGAGTGACCAATTTCGGGCAATCGACTTGACGGCTGTCTCTCAGGAACGGTGGGTTTGTGTTCTTCATCCCATGGTCGAGGTTCAGAGGTTGACACTCGGGAGATGGGTACGTACGCGTGGATCTATTTCACCTCAACCCTACTGTACTAGTACCGGTACCAGTACTGTACCACACGGTCGGTACAGTTGCTACCAGCTGGAAGACAGGTCAACTTTACCTGTGTCAAAGAGTGAAAACCTTATTTCTTTTTCAAAACTGTTAATGCTTGGTCCTGAAAAGTCAACTCTGAGTCATGCTTTAAAGATCGTGAATTAAATTTTCAAATTCAACCCCGGAGGACCTTTGGACAGGTTCTTTTGCGTAGGCCCAGTACATTTTCTACGGCTGGACTGTACCTGTCTTAGATTTACCTGTTTCCCAGCTGGTAGGTTGCTTTTGTGTTGGGATGTATTCGGTTTTTTCAGGGCTTGTCTCCTGGACCGTTGTGGAACGGTAGTCGCGCGGGTGCGGGACTGAAAATGTTCGGAAACCACGACTGCATTGAAACGAACAGCTCTTAAATTCAGGAGACAACCGCGCGATCGGCTCTTAAATCTTCCTATCAGCTCTTAAATCTGCTCCTAATTTTAAGAGCTGACCAGCATCATCTCCTAAATCTTTGCGATCGGCTCTTAAATCCAAAATCAGCTCCTAAATCTTCAATCAGCTCCTAAACGCATCACGTGCGACAACTCGTTACTACTCGCTACTAGCTAGCTAGCTAGCTAGCTAGCTAGCTAGCTAGCTAGCTAGCTAGCTACAACAACAACAACAACAACAACAACAACAACAACAACAACAACAACAACAACAACAACAACAACAACAACGCCCACTGCCGATAGCTCTACTTCTTGCCCTGTCTCCCCTTCCGGTTCATGTTGCTCTTTTCCTTGACTTTTAAAGAGGTATACCTACCTTCCGATGGAAGGACAGATGTTGCAAGTTCTAAAAAATATTAAATACTTCGTACCTCATTGTTCTGCGCACCTCAAGCGCGAGCCCTGGCTTGAGCAGCAGCAGAAGCACAACAACAAAAACTCGCCAAATTCTTCCTCAAGAATGCTCTTGTAGTCAGCTCTGTGCTGCCGTCAGGTCTGCTCCGACTATAAGACAGTGGCATAGAAGTAAGGACACGAGGTGGCAACACTTGAGATGCCACAGGCAGCCATCGAGAACTTGTGAAGTCGCGAGATATCTAATAGATCTTCCATTTTCAAGTGAACCGACCTTGCTGTAACTTACATCTCCCTTGATATCACTACTACCTCTGTGTAGAGTGAGATAGATTGGTTAGTTCAATGTTTTAAAAAAGGTCTAGCATGTCCACAGCATAAGTTTTTGCAGCTTCTTTTCGTCATCTTGAATTGATCGATTTTCGATTGGAACTCGTGTTAGCTATCATTCAGAGTCATGAGGATATAAGACTCAAAGGTAGGTATACCTCCCTAATGTGTGATGAAATTTGGATGTTCGGATCTCCTGGTAGATGTGGTCTCGGAATATTTTCAAGGGGTAATCGTCGTACTCTTCACGCAAACACCAAACCTCCGACGGTTCAAGCTGATCATTAATGCTAGCGGTGATGTCTGCTTTCAGCTGTTTTTGTTCCTTCGATCTATCCCATTCAGGATACGGTACCCATAGGCACTATGAGCGTGCACCACATTGTTGGCTCTGAAATTATTAAAACGTTCTTCTTCGTCGCAGTTTGCTCGATCTTTATTTCTTCTGAAAATCCTCCGAAGACTAGACAATCGACTAGAGAAGTTTCTGTATCCCTGCTCAGCGTATTCTGGTCGGCTTTCGAAGATTTGTCGTGTTGGCATCGTTTGATCAACCACATCGGGAACCACCCCATCACACAAATCTTTGAATAAAACGCTGTATTCTCAATATTTATCTGGGTTAACAGCAGCCCTTTTCAGCTCCTCTGCGGTTACTTCTGCATCCTCTGGTATAGGAGGAGGGGCTTGTTTCTTGCTTCTCCTCTTGTTTGGCATTCTTCTTCTTGCCCAAGAAGAAGGGTTGGTACAGTCAATATTGGAAATTATTTGTGAAGGGAAGTCTCTTGGAAGGGCGGTCCAACCACGAGCCTGTCTTCCCGCTGCAAACGCATGCGATTCTGACATGTCTAAATGAACAGACTTAGCTTGTATAGTGGTCATTGTCAGGTCGGTGCTTTTGGCACAATCTTTTTGCGCTGGCGCCCTTTTGCTGGGTTCAGCAATGTTTCGTACCAAAATTGTGTAGACTTGTATGCATAGCTGCCACCTTCAATTTGGATCCAAAAGCAACACAATGGTGACAACTCGAGGCGGTGGTAGCACAAGCTCCGAAGAAGTGTTCTCTCCTAACAAGGGTAGAGCGTCATCAGCAACAAGTGTAGGCAGCAGCACAACAGGAAGCCGCCCCGGTTTGCCGTTGTATCTCAAGAAGACTCTTGCCAAAGAACTGCAGCATCGAATTGGTGGGCCCAGCAAACTTGTCGGGCCGAAAGCTTTGCAGAAGTTCCTCGATTCGTCTGAAAACAGTCCTGAATACTACGGCATAGCCGGAGACTTGCTTCGTAGACAAATCTCCCAGAAGGTAACTCGTTGGAAGCGCCATTCGAAAGATCAGTGGAAGAGCCGGGTTCTTCATAGGTACAAGATCTCCGAAGATCCAGGTTTGTCTTCGTCCTCGGATTCAAGTGCAAGGTCACTCGGAAATGATTAAGACGACTTGCCTAAATCACCACCACCAATTCCCAAGGAAATCTCTACAGGAAAGAAGAACACCCCATCTTCTTCCAAGACACCAAGAGCTGCCGCCAAGAAAGGGAGTGCAGTAGTCAAAGAATCACCGTTCTAGCTAGACACCCAAGGTCCCCAAGCATGGTCCTGATAAGAAAAAGCCATCGCCGGTGCCAGAAGAGCAAGTTAGCCATTTCAAAATGCCAGCTACGAAGTACCGTGAGTGTCAACCAATGCGTTGACAAGTGTTGATCATTGTTCGAAGTCCTTGGAATTGCCTGACTTTGTTTGCTCTCTTTGTTTCTTCTGTCAGACGAGATTGTGGTTGATACCGATAGGGCCTTTGCGAGTGGTCTCTTTTACGTGTTCAACATCCAAAAAACACTTGAAGGTGTGGGCAAGGAGGCTGGTCGCATGTTCTGGGGATATTATCTTTTTGAAAGTTGATCTTCGTTGGATTCTCAGTGATCTCAAGAAATCCTTCTACCATGGTCGAATCTTTGCTACCGACACAATTTTGATTTCGGTTCCAGCATGGGATTTCAACCTGTACAAAAATTGTGACGCCTTCTTGCCAGCTAATGGTGAACCCGACAACCTTCTTGCCAGCTAATGGTGAACCCGACAACCTCGTCCAAGCTCTTGATGACTCGCAAGATTGCTTCAAGAAGGATAAAGATGAGAAATTCTTTGCGCATTACAGGTTCAAGTTTGATGGTGAGGCAATCAACTCATCCAAAATCTTTGAGGAGGCTACAGAGGACGAGAAGCTTAAGTCGAATATTGTCAAAATCGAGAGCAAGGACCATACCAGCAAAGCGATCGAAGAGTACTATTGCCGTTTTGTTGTCTGTCGCGATGATTTGCAACACAAAGGCACGGCACACACAGTACAGATCCGAGTAGTTTGGGTAGACCACAATGGTAGAGGACAATGGAGAAGTCTATCTCGTCCACCTGGTTTGATTGGGAGTCTGTGAAGGAACATGAAATACTTGACAAATGCTTGACAGTAGATGACAAATTCAGGATACCACAAGTCAATCTGATGACGCCACCAAAACTTGTCTCAGAATAATTCGTGTCATGACAGGAAGAAGGAATTTCCCATTGTTGACGTTGAGTTCATGGAAGTCTGCGAAGCAATGCAAGTCCTCGACAGAAGGCAGCAATGGATTGACATATCATCTCAACAAGCACTTTTCACATGGTGCAATCATGCGATGAATCCAGCGATGAGAGTTTCGTGGGCAATAGACACATTTCGGAACATTGACTACCCATGCCCAAAATGAATATTATTGCACTGGCATCAAAGCGTTTGTTTGAGGTCCATTGCTCTGCCAAAATTGACTATCCCAGCAACAACAGAACTGAGAACACCAACCAACCAACCAACCATATCCCCACAATATGGCACTGGTGGCAAACTGGTAGTAGCCTACAAGACTTTCATTTCAATCCACTGTCAGAAAATCAAGTGTACCACCAATGCACCAATTCAGAATGCAAAGGAAATCAATAAAAACCCAAAGAAGATACCAGTGGCACAGGTGTCAACCCACACCATAACAACATACATGAACTTGAGAAAAGTGGGCAAAGCTATGCATCCCATACAACCAGGAAGCTTAGAGCATGCAACACCGGGGTACCCCAAAACTCGCGCATTTTGGGTTGCGCAAATAATCACAACCCAATAGCCGTGACCTAAACATGAATTGCATCCCAAATGCCGTCATTTTTTGCAGATGTGATTTGCGCAACGCTTGCATGCTGGGCAAATCTGGTGACTTTGGGCTGGACCCAAACGGCAAATCCCATAAATAAACCGACAGATCCAATGAAAATCCAATGAGAAGAGGTGCGATCTTGGGGTTTCGGAAGATATTGTCACAAGAATTGCACAGAACACAAAATTGATAGTAGTCTCGATCGGTGATTCCAATGTCTCCAGCTAACGCGGATGTCCCTTGTTTGGCAAGTACTCACCTTGCCGACAGCTCCACGTCGCTGGTCACCGAACCCGATCAGCAAGGCCCCATTTTCAAGGATGCCCTCTTCGTCTGGAATTGAAAGCATCATCACAAAGACCTGAATTCTCAGCTTCTCAGCTAGAAGCATCTCCATCGCCTT